AACAGTTGCAAGACTTAAAATCTAAACGTTTCCATAAATCCTCACTATAGAGAGATACAGGCAAGAGAGTTTTTGCCTTTTGTCCCTTGTCCATCCCATCAACCTAAGGGGGAATTTAAATATACTGACAGAATAGAACTCAAGAGCTAGAGAAATATAGTTTTCAGTGGCTAAACACCGTAAAGCTACCCATTTCAGGCTTGGATATTTCCAGTGTTTCCCTATATCCCTTTGGGCAGAAGGCTGTTATCAGTAGGTTGCAGTCTTTAGTCATAGTTTGTGGCACTCCACTGCATTTAACTTTTTAAGAGGCAGAAGAAAGAGAGGAATGCATGGAAAAATAAATTAGGTCGGATGATTGGCAGATGTGAAGTGCCTGACAGGTGGAGAGTGGAGGATGGAAACTGTTGGAAGAGTCAGGTGTTGGTGGGTATGTGTGCGTTTAAACTAGCTTGCAAAAGCTGGAGGTCAAGACTGAGGGCAGAGAAAAGAATTTGGATATGCTGGACCAGTTTTTTAAGACAAGCATTGTTTTTGCATCTCACTGCAAGGTTGTTAAATGTTCCAGCTGTATATTTAAGGAAAGTCCTACTGCTGCATATTGTTTCCTGATTGCTTATTTGTACCCTATGACTACCATTAAGTGTTGTACCTTATGATTCTTGATGAATGTATCTTGTCTTTTTATGTACACCGAGAGCATATGCACCAAAGACAAATTCCTCTTTGTCCAATCACACTTGGCCAATAAAGAATTCAATTCAATTCAATCCAGTTCAGTTCTGTTCTGTTTGATTCTATTCTACATATAGTTCAGTAGTTTGGTTCTATTCTACATATAGTTCATTAGCAACAGCTTTTTTTGCATATATTCAAAGTAAGTTTAGACTCAGTAGATAGTCCAGACTATTAAACAATTGCTTAATCTGGTTTTATCAGAGATCCCCTGTTTTAGCAGAGATCCCTTGGGATCCCAATTTGCTTCAAGGGTTTGCACTTTACATATGCCCAGGTAGTATGTTACACTTCTCGATGTCTCAGGATCCCCTGGACAGACAGAGCTGAGTGCGGTTCCAATATGTAAGTGGCTACAGCACAAAAAAGAGAGCTCAATTTGTTCCCCAAAGCACCTGAAGGCAGACAAGAAGCAATGGATGGAAACAAATCAAGGAGAGAAGCAACCTGGAATTAAGGAGAAAAATTCTGACAGTTAAAACAAGTAATCAGTGAAACAACTTGCCTGCAGACCTTGTGGGTGCTCCATCGCTGGAGGTTTTTAAGAAGAAATTGGACAACCATTTATCTGAAATGGTATAGGGTCTTCTGCCAGTGCAGGGATTTGGGCTAAAAGACTTCAAAGGTCCTTTCCAATGTTATTATGTTTCTGAAATCCAGGATGTGTGTTGCTTAATTTTTCTCCCTGTCTCTACAAGTATTGCCATTTCGGTATGGCTGCATGATGTCTGCTCCCTAAGGCCTCGCAAGAGTGGTATTTCTCAACATTCAAGAAGGGCCATTGTCATTTCAGAATGTGGAGAATTTGTCCATTTGAAAGCAAGATCTTTCTCCCTAAACCCCTGATTAAGGAGGCTGAAGTCTGGGGAATCCAAGAGTTAAAACTACCTTGTGTTTCAAAAGTCGTTGTTATTGCTGGAAGGCATTGAGCTGCAGTTTTGTAGCTAGGCTGCATTTCCTTTTAGCATGTAATTGGGTCTTTGAACTCTCCTGCACAAGCTCTGCCACGGACTGGCCCAACCAGTTTATACTCAGTAGGTCATTGTTCTGAGTCATTAATGACATCTCCGGGCCTGGCTCGCTACCCACCCACATCCTGCCTTACAAAAAAGGACTGAAGGTTAATAAAAACTTTAGTAATGAAACAATTGTGTGACACTCAAGAGCCTAATGATTCAAACAGTGTTTCAAACCAAATACCTGCTGTATCCGGTCATCGAGGTGAAACCCACTGCTTGGCCTCCGTTTTTGCAACAGATGCATATTTACAGAATGAGTTTCAAGGATCTGGTGGAGATTGAAGGTATAAAAATTTACCATGCAATTTTTGCTCAACTTGTTACAAGATCTGCTAGGTAGCCCTTCCTTTAGTAGAGAAATGTGTGACAAGGCAAGCTTGAAGAGATGAAAAAACAGAGTCATATCTCATTCTGTTATGAGTGCCTGTTAATTTGTGTTCTCTCTCTTTCTCTTGGTGACCATAAGCTTCTCATATCTTAAGCTGCAGATAGCTGCTTATGAACATATGAAGCCATATTGCATTTTGGCCCATCTGTCCATCTAAGACCAGGACCATCTTCTGTGATTGGCAGGAGGTTTCAAAGTCATCAGTCAGAGGCCTGTAAGAAGTTCTATCAGCAAAAATTCTTTATATGAGTGAGATCAGAGAACTTCTGTTCTCCTCTGGGACATAGACCTCCATTTGGGAAGGAAATTGTCCCCCATAATTTCTTTCCATATCATCATCATCCAGACTGGGGTAAGAAGAAATGCAAAAGGTAGGCATGGGAGGTCCCATATAATCTGTTCACAAACATACGCCAAACATTATTTTTGGTGAAATCTTCAAGTCGGGTGAGAAATGGAGAAGCTTCATTCACTTTATCACCAGTTCCAGTTAAGTCTTTTTACAAACTAGTTGACAAATGCATGAAACTGAGCTGACAATCTTGTGGGATTCTGTTATGAGAAAGATGGGAGAGTACAACTCATTGTATTTCTCATAGCCCTCCCCTGTTTTCAATACTTCATCAACTGTCTAAAGTAGAGCCGAGAGCATTATCTATTATAGTAGATTTTGCAACTACATGATTGGTGGTTTCCAGAAGATGGTACTGAAATTTGTAAAGCTGCTCTGGGGCAACTAAGTCATGGAATGTGTTTTTGAACCTATTTAGCATCTATATGAAACCATTTCCACCAATAAACTCCAGTCTGTTTCACCCTGCAGGTACACAATCACCGAGGTCTATATTTTCAGAACTGTTGGGATTTGCGAGATGTCAGCAATAGCTTCTTTGTTTAAAATGCTGAGAAGAATCTGATATCTGCTGTATTCATTACTGATTAAAGCATTTGGTCCACAGTTTATTTGATGCTGACTGAACATAAAATACCTAAATTATCTTTTTAAAATGTTCCTGCTTCTTTCTTATCACAATTATGAAACCCCTTTGGGATATAATCTGGAAATGATGGATTAAATTGTCATTGATGTGAGCATGACACATAGCTTTATCTGTTTTTTTCCTTTAAAATAGTTGAGGGACTCCACAATAATGTAGAACAGAGAATCTTCTAATATATGGTACTGAAAATAGAAGTGATATGCTGGAGATGTGAACAACAAAAAGAGACATTTTATCATGTTTGGTGGATATGTAAAGAAAGCAAGAAAATGTTGGCTTCAAATGCATACATGCATTTGCATCAAAGATTAAGGACCGAGATTTTTCTGTTGGGATTGAGGGACAAACCTTGGGAAGCGGGGGAGTCATGCAATCTTATTTTTCTACGTGATAATTGCAGCAAGATAATTGTAAGCACAGATAAAAAATTGGGACTACCCACAATGGAGGAATGGTTGAAGAAGATGATGGAACTTGCTGAGATGGCTAAATTGAATTATTTGCTCAAAAAAAGTCAATATCTATGATCATTGAAATAGGAGTGATGTGTGACCATTTGGAAGAACAGGACAGTTCAAAATACCAGTGGCTTTGTTCACAGACCATAGTCTGTTATGAAACTCCAAGAAGCAAGCTCTTTCCACCTCGGTTTTCAGCAAGACTATTGTATGACTCTGAAATGACCACCATACTCATAGATGACAGGATCATTGTAAACTACGGTAGATATTACACCTACAGTGATTTTTTTCAGCAGGACATCTGGCTTAATGTCAGTAACTGGCATCCAAGGTCAATAGCAAATTGGGCTCTACATGACACAGTACGTCTAAAACATCTGTTAAAGATCTCTGTATGGTGGTGGTAAAAATGGACACTATGGATTCATACTACATGACACACATAGCTGAATGTGTTGTGCAATGCACAACATTAAAATCATTCTGAATTTTGGCTTAAAAGCAAATAGGCAATGTGTTGCCCATCTATTACTGCTCAGATCATTCCGAGAACAACTGTAACTAACAAATCCATAAGAGATGGTAGCTCCATGAGTTTGGTTTGGTCTTCTCAGAACAAGATAAAAAAGTTATAATTTGCTCTTTGCTTCATTCCTGAACAAGCTAAATTCCATGGTAGAGACAACATGGATAACAAACATATCTGTCAGTGTATCAGAACAAGGAGAGGGATGTGATTTATTCAATGTACTGTACATAATTTTTTATTTATTTCTCCCTGCTCCTCTCATATTTTGTCCCTCAAGCACAAAAAAATAATAAATCCAAGCAAACCAGACATTAGTAACTGGGGCTGAAGCAGATTTTGCTGCTGGGAAGAAGTCTTCTCTAAATCCAGCCAAGAAATATAACCGAATAGAAGAATGCAAGCTAATAATATACCTATAAGTGACAGTCACACAATTGTCAAATTGTAATGCAGCAAAAAAAACAACCCCAAAAAATCTGAAAAAGTAGTCCTGCATTCATTGTTGTGCTTATCACTAGGTTACATGGAATGAGCCAATAATTTAGTAGCATCTGGGAGGATTTTATTCCTTTTGACTTTGCACATTTGTCCTTTGTTTGATGATACCTCTATGTCCCTTTACATCATGATTCTCCACTGTGATCTATTCAGAAGCCACAGATATAGCACTTCGCAAAGTGTAAATGTGTTTCCTTTTGTGGAAACTCTGCAGAACATAGGGTAAGAGATGCCTTTGAACTGAGGTGCTGCAGGAAATTGTTGAGAAACCCTTAGACCACAACAGGAACAAATCATTCAAAGCTAGATTAAGAAAAAAAAAACAGAGGGTTCACTCTGGCAGCAGTAACAGTGAAGCTAAATATTTTGTGCACATAATATGAAAGTCAGTCTTTGGAGAAGGCCCTGATGCTTGGAAAACTCAAAGGCAAAATAAAAAGATTGACAGACGAGAAGATGATCAATATATCACCGATGATGCAAGCATCAGTTTAAAAAGAAGCAATTACTGGCATACAGTTCTGGCAAAAAAAAAACTCCAACAGGACATGAACAGTCAGCAAGTCTAAGTGACTAACCATAACAAAGCATGCCTTTTTGTTGTGATTATTTCCCCCTTCTGGTTATTTTCTTCGGTGGCTCATTGTTTAACAGAGTCCTTGTTTGTTCTAATAGTTATTCACCCACTGCAACCAAAGGGAAGAGAAAGAAAAGAAAGTATTATGACCCACCATCCTGGTAGAAATTCCTGTCTGATCACCTGCAGTGGCAAGGGGGCAAGGCAAGAGAGCACAGACTAGCCACTCATTTTGACCTTAACTTAACACAACAACGCCTATGTGGCATTTACAGCCCAGCCACCTCTTTGGATGCTGAGCGTAAGGATCATGCATGTTCTTCATCAGTCATGATGTCGATTTTAAGAATGGCTTCAGCTGAGTTTTGTCCCTGTTTCTTGATAGTCCCTGCAAGGCACCTGAGTTTGTTATTCCTGTCCATTCCAGGTGGAATCCAAATGGCATGACTTTATCTAAGGAACAGATGAATGGCTCAGCAGGAATGTTTATGGGTGAGGGAAGATAAGCAACTACATTCTCCAACCTTGCCCAGACCTGCTGAGATCTAATGGCCAGCCGATCTCCTCTCACCTGCCCTGCAGCTCAGTCTTGCTTCCAGGCCAAATAGTTCAGCCTTTTAACCTGAGCAATGCAGGAATGTATTATTCCACCCAGGAACCATTACAACTGAGTCACGTTTTACAGCACCTTTTCTCTGGCCTAAGCATCTGCCTTTCCATGCTGCGCAGAATCAACATTAAACCTGAGATGCATAGCTGTCCTTTTCCCCCACATCCATTTCATGGAAACAAATGTTGAATGAAGTCCATTTTCCCTTCCTAAGCCCAAGGACCTAAATGCCAGATAGAACACGTTTGCATATTATTCATATTAGGACCAGGCAATGCTTTGGAAAGTAGCATAAACAGTCCCCCCCTATCTGTTTCCAGGCGCCCAAGTTTTAAATGCCTGGAATTCCAGTAAAATAATGACTTTACTCTTGTTTTTTGTACTGTTCTCACCAAACACTTTGTTCGGCATGCTGAGCATTTTAGTCCTCTAATTTCTATACTTTTCAGTAGCACTGCCCTCGTGAGAGTTGGGGGTGCCTGCCTTTCATATTTTACTTTAATTTCCTCCTGCATGAAACATCATTTTGCTCACTATGAATAGGTATGGCATGAAATGATTCAATCATTTCCTTCCTCTTATCCTTGACTGTGAACCTCTAGGCTTTTCAATTTCCTTTACCCTGATCTCCACCGTTGGGAAATATCAATTGATGGCTCTTAGTAATATCAAAGAATGTGGGTTTTTGTATTTAGGAAAAAATGAATATGTAAATAACATAAATGGGAGGTGACCTCTGATCATCCCATAGTGTTCCACAAATGAAGCAGGCCATTCCTGAAGCATCCACAGACTCACAGGGAAGTTTCACTGAGGATCGAACTGACAAGCTTCTCTCCCATTTGTCATCATTTCTTCAGAGAGAAACAAAAGGGGAGAGACCAATGGCCTGGGTGGAGAAAAGAAGAGAAGGCTTCACCCCATCATCACTCACGTCACAATCAGACACACTGATTCTGGTCAGAGGACATGATGGGCTTCTCACCAGGGTGAGGAAGAGACCGTTCTTCTGAGTTACTAGCTCTTAAATTGGAGAAATAAACCTTAATTCATGAGAGTGCGAATTTGTTTATTCTTTTATGTTTTATTTTACAATTTATTTGTTCAATTTCTATGGCCGCCCACTTCAGTCAATGACTAATGCTTAAGAACTGAAGCAAGGCCAAATTTGAAGTAATGTGTCTTTGATTTCATCTTTCAGCAACATATGATATTTAAACTAGCTCAAGCTGTGAGCCTTGCTAAATCACAATCGCCACTTAATGCACATCAAAAGATGATTGTGAGGCTGAGACTTACCTTATTCGGGAAGTGGGAGATATGTGATAAGAACATTGCTTTGTTTACAATTTAATTACAGCTGCCAGATGGGGATGATGCAAATAGCACAGCAGCATGTTGACATGGTTCTCCTGTGAAATTTTCCTGGTCAACATTGCGCAGAGAAAGCTGCTACGGATAGTTCTCGACTTACAATGACAATGGAGCCCAAAATTTATGTTGCTAAGTGAGACAGTTGTTAAGCAAGTTTTGCCCCATTTTATGACCTTCCTTGCCACAGTTGCTCACTGCAGTTGTTAAGTTATTAACACGGTTGTTAAGTGAATCTGGCTTCTTCATTGACTTTGCTCGTCAGAAGGTCACAAAAAGTGATCACATGACTTTGGGCACTGCAACTTATTTAAATGTGAGTCAGTTCCCAAGAGCCTGAAGTTTGATCAGGCGACCAAGGGGATGCTGCTATGGTTGCAAGTGTGAAAAATGGTCATAAGTTCCTTTTTTCAGTGCTATTGTAACTTTGAACAGTCACTAAATGAATTGTTGTAAGTCGAGGACTACCTGTATTAGATCCAATAGCTTGAAGAAGAAGGGAGAGAGAAAACCGTAAGAACATGGAAGATATGTTCTGTGAGCATATTTAGGAATTCAGATCTGAGTTGGATACATACAATTCACAAACACACACGCACACACACACACACTCTTTTCTCTTTCTAAATTTGGATTATGAAATAGCAATAGCAATTAGACTTATATACCACTTCACAGGGCTTTTACATCTCTCTCTAAGTGGTTTACAGAGTCAGCATATGGCTTCCAACAATCTGGGTCCTCATTTTACCCACCTGGGAAGGATGGAAGCCTGAGTCATGTAATGAGCCCAAAATTCTTGCTGAGAAATCAGATGCTTATCAATAGATGTGGTCATTATTAGGTTAGAGGGTTGGGTTATATTCTAAAGTTTCAACCCTGCTTCTTTAGACCTAACCGAGATCTTGTACTACATGGTAAATAAGACCTGCTCAGAAGGGGACATGGGGATGTCTTTCTTTCTAAATACATTTTTTTCGACACGTGGCACCACAGGTAAGAGCAAAATAATTTCTTTTTCATCAACTACTGTAAACCAACCAAATCAAAGCCCATCCCTTTTTTTTTTTTCATCTGAGTTTGTGAGGACAGCACATTTTAATGCTGGGTCTCACACAACAAAAGTTAAATGTATAAAACGTTCACAAGCCGTGCATTCAAGTAAATGTCATATCTGTTTATATGCATTTGAAAATCTGTATTATGTTTTGCAGACTTCCAGGCTCCAGATTCAGCTTCAAATTTCCAGTCCATTGGTCTCAAGTGTACTTTAATGGAACATGAAGACATAGCTTTTGTTCTATAATACAGATGCACACAGCTCGGCTAAAAAGATGTGCGTGTATGTGAGAGAGAGAGAAAGAAAGAAAGAGAGAGAGAGAGAGAGAGCAGATTTGAAAACCGATGTACTGTCAGCTTTCATTATTAAATAAGCTATTAAAAACGTCAACAGAAACTAGCAGGGAGGTCTGCAATAAAAGAAAAAAAGACAATTTCAGTTAATACTTAAATCCACCACCAATCTGGAAATTAGCTAGACATGAGAGGAAACACACTTGCATTTCTTTTAGAGCAGGGGAGATAATCATGTCTAGTCTAGACACCGGATCCATCCCCTCCCTGTTTGGGCAAGTTGGACAATCCAGACAGGTAGAACTTAAGAGGATTGGGTGGACAAGTCTCTGCTCCTTCATTAAAGACTCATCCCTAATACCCTACATTTCTCTATACAGGATGAAGCAAGGAGCCAGCTGTGTCAATGGGAGCCTAAGCTTCCTGCCTTTTTCTGCATGAACAGCAGTGGTCCATACAAGCTGAAGAAGAAAGCCCAAGTTTTTGGGTGTCCCACTGGATTGAGCAGGTTCACCTGCCCAATGTTTTCCCCGACTCAGTCAGGAAAATGTGTGGACACTTGAAACACACAGTCTCCCCTATTTGCAAAGGTGGTTCTGTCAGATATTGGCCATCTATTTGTGGCTAGACCATGCTTATTGGCAATTCATCTGAACTGCTCGCAAAGGAGGCTCTTATTACAAATTCAGGAACAGGTTCAAGCAGAGAACCAGACTGGAAGACAGATGAAGACTACCGGAGGGTGTGTTTTTTCCCAGCCCTTATAGTCCCATTTAGAGCAGGATGAACATCAGCTACTTTGAGCGGATGAATGTCCTGCATTTATCCTCCCAATTGATCAAGAGAGAGCTTTAACTTGTTGGCCCCCATCCCATCCATTACTTTCCCCAGATACAATGTCTATCTCTCCTCTGAAAGTTTTGCTAAATGGTCTCTTGCTTTTTTGGGAAATAGCCAGGGTTCATTCAATACAGAGATATAGGCTTCACAGTTGCTACTTACAAATGTTCTTCTTCACAGTAAAAGGTTTATGTTACATTGAGTATGTTTTATACCTAAAATGTCTCTCTCCATGAAAACATGTGCTTGTTTACACAGTTAATAACATGAACTTGTGGGTACAAGACAGTATCTGTGCTTCAGAATGATACCAACAAGACTCTTCCCCACCACCTATATCCTCAGGCAGAAGAGAGATAAGGTCAGTATTGGCTCCAGCCATGGGTTTATCTCCTTATCTCACCTGCTCAAGATGGAACTATGACCAAGACAGGATTTCACAAGGCTGCCTCTCTCTCTCTCCTAAACAAAATGAAATTGAGGGCAGGGTTAGGAATCTTGCTAAAGGAGGTTATAAAAGGGAAGTTTTAATACTCTCTGCTCTACTTCTCTCGGGTCAACCTCTATTTTCTCCATCACATTAAGGCCATTCTGGGCTACAGTGTCCTAAAAAGCAGTTGTTGTTTTTAAGTGAAATTCCTAAGAAGCTTTTTTTCCATTTGGAAAATTGTGATTCTTCTCAAATGTTTTTATTGCTACATTATTAAAAATTTTGTCAAGACAGAACGTGCAGGGGTGTCTTAAGTATATACTGGACAATGCCTGTGCATCATCAACACTGACAAATAATACAGCCCCTTCCTCATTATTGTCATTTTTTTGTGATTTCTATTTTTTTTCTCACTCTGTTTTTTGTGATATACAAAGGCTTTTGAAGAAAAGTCACTGCATATAAGTAATGTTCCACATAATTTTGTCCTTCCATTTCAATAATCTTGTCCTTGGCTTTTAGGAATTATTGGTAATAGAATTAGTTTTATGCAATAAGACAGTTCATAAAACTTAATACAAAACAGACTGTACTTGCAATACAACAAAATACCCCTTGCAGATTTTAAATCCAAAAACAGCTTTCCCATCAGTCTTCCTAAAATATATTTTTTTAAAACACAGAAGTAACTTCCTCTTCAAGTTTATTTATAGACTTCATTTGCATAACCTGGTTATTGAGTTTAACCCATTTTTTGAGTATTCATAATACACCACACTATAAAACAAGAAAGCAAATGGTCTGGCTTTACATGTCTCTCTTTCTCTTCCTCCCTCCCTTTCTGTCATGCATGGAAGGAGGGAGGGAGGGAGGGAAAGAGAGAGAGAGGGAGGGAGGGAGGGAGATTAAAATTAAGCAGGTTTTACACATTGTGCAAAAATGGCTGCTAGGTTTGTAGTTGCTTGTGTCATGCAAATATACCGTAAACTGTTTTTCAACTCAGAGCAAGAGGCAGAGTAAGTAGAGTAGTTTCTCCTAATGGCAAAAAAGCACAAATATGTTTAGTGCAAAAGTATATTTTTCTCTGTCTTTATGTGGAGAAAAAAATAGTGGTATGGTTTTGCCCTTGCAAAAATAGTGGTATGGTTTTGCCCTTGCAAAAAGCCACCCAGTCTGTAAGGACAGAACAGTATAGTACTGTTCTATCCTTATTGTTCAGTACAAATACTAAAAATAGATTTGGGGTATAGTGTAGAAAAGTTTGCTATCCAAAATGCCACAGTTCATAAGTCTGTTTTGTTGCTAATTATCAATCAGGTCATCAAACAAAAATTATTTACCACATGGCCAACGTTGTCTGGCAACCCTGATTTTTCCTTCTGCCCTCCTAAGACTGGCCTTGCTTGTCCCAGGTCATGGCGTAGATGCTTGACTGTTATTTTATTGCAAAACACCAAGCAGCTATAGGAGAGAAGAGTGAAGAGTTGGGGTAAAGCTGCATTATGTTGGCAGCTCTCCTCCACTGCAAGGGCTGGGTTCTTCTAAACAGAACTTACCACGGACAACGCATCCCCCCCCCCCAGCCTAGCAAAGTCGCATCTTCCAAAGTGCAACCAAATTGGGCCATAATATAGGGATGCCTCCCTGGGCCTGCCAAGAGGCTTAGCAGGGCAACTTTCTGTTTATCATTTTGGCCAACCTGCATGCAAGGCAGGAAAGCAAGAGCAGCATGTTCCTGATGTTGCATCCCAGAAACTTTGCTTCTGAAAATGATATAGAGCCATCATGGTTCACAGCCACTTACCTCTTCTTTTTTCCTTTTTCTATCTATCGACCAGAGGTGTTATTCAACAGGTTCTGAGCAGTTCTAGAGAACCGGTAGCGGAAATTTTGAGTAGTTCAGAGAACCGGTAGCAGAAATTTTGAGTAGTTCAGAGAACCGGTAGCGGAAATTTTGAGTAGTTCAGAGAACCGGTAAATACCACCTCTGACTGGCCCCGCCCCCATCTATTCTCTGCCTCCCAAATCCCAGCTGATCGGGAGCAAATGGGGATTTTGAAGTAACCTTCCCCTGGAGTGTGGAGGGAATGGGGGATTTTATAGTATCCTTCCCCTGCCATGCCCACTGAGCCACACCCACCAAGCCACACCCACAGAACCAGTAGTAAAAAAAATTGAATCCCACCACTGCTGTTGACACTTTGGAAAAGCGTTCAAGCCAATGAACCTCCCACATAGTCTGGACTCAAGAATAGGGCTCTAATTTTGTCCCATTCCATTCGAGACATACAGTATTACTTTAAAACAGATCTGAATCTTTCACCAGGCCACTTGATGCAGAGTCAGGAAACATTTCAGCCACACCACAGCCCTCCCCCCCCACCATTCATAATTCTGTATGCCTCCATATGAGCCACCCCACCACCACAGTTAATCCCAAAATCTGAATTCTGTGAGGTCTGCTCCAAAGGAGCTGTTGTTTTCCATTCCTTTGGTTGTACCTTTTCATGCAATATTATTTACTGACATCCGATTCCAAGGAGGGTGATTTTATTAGTATTTTAATAATACTGCCACAGTCAGTTTGGCGTAATGGTTAAGGCACCAGGCTAGAAACTGGGAGACTATGAGCTCTAGTCCGGGGTGGGCTTCAACAATTTCAGCAACGGGTTCTCTGCCCGATTACTGGGTGGGCTTGGCCATGGTGAGTGTGGCCTAGTTGGCCTCCTAGACCATAGCAGGGGGACATTTATACCTTCCCCAGGCTCCGGAGGCTTTCCTCAAGCCTCTGGGAGGGCGGAAACTGCCTCCCCAGGGCTCCAGAGACTGTTTCCGGCCTTCTGGAACTTCCAGGAGGCCTGTTTCCCCCACCTCCCCAAGCCTTCGCACGGGCCCTACACTAATCTCACATCCAAAATGGGCTGCGTAGAGACTCCTGGGAGGGGCAGGCAGGGTGGGAGGGGTGTGGCGGGACAAGCCAGGGGTGGGATTTGGAAATTCTCCGAACCGGCCATAACGTTCCTCTGAAAAACCTTGCCAAGAGAATGGTCCAGGTGGTTTCCAAGAATTGAACATGATTGTGTAGGAAGTTATCACCCAGCCCTCTCCCAGAAAAATGAAATATCCTAGGAAATATTGAAAAGGCAGA